TTTAGATGAGGTAGCCCTGCATAGATAGGCAAGAACTAACAAATCCTGTGTGGTGTCCCTTAGGATTGCATTTAGATATAAGTAACACAATACCTGAGTAATAGTAACGTAGAGAAATACGGGGTTATTTGTTTCATATTTCAAGAGGTCCAAAGTTAGGTGGTTCAGGTGGGGAAAGTGCCTCATCAGTGTGACCATGGACTTAAGGAGTTTATACATGCTTTACTCTACTATCATTATTTAATAGGCCTCATTGCTTACAGTCAGATAAAGTTGATAATAATAATGATGATGATAACGATATTGACACTTTGTAGTACTAATCTTGTGCCAAGAACTGTTCTAATTGCTTTCACGTATTTATTTATGGCTATAAAATGGTTGTAGTAGAACAGACCTCACATCCATGATCCTGAAAACAGCAAAAAAAAAACACCTCCACAAAACAGTGGGGTGGCAGTGGGAGAGAAACTAAAGAGGCAAAAGACAGGCTCTCTTCTATCCTTATGATATAAATATTTCCAGAAGCCCATCCAAAATTAGTCTCCTTGATTCCACTGAACAAAAGTGTGTCACGTGGCCACCCTCGGCTGGAAGGTGGCCAAGGGAAAGGGGACCATGAATGGAGGTGGAGTCAGATAATGAACAGGTGCTTCCACCGGGGTTAAGTCTTTTTACGTCCATCGTGTCATCGGATCCTTTCCACAGCCCTCTGCGCTAGATACCAAAGGAAACTGAAGAGCCGAGTTTTGAGTAACTAGTCATTTAGCTCTTACCTTCCAAGGCTGAGATGTGAATTCACCTACGCTGACCTCAGAAACCATGCCTCCGTGCTTGTCACTACTACGCAGGGCTACCTCCCTGGCTCGGTTTGAATGTCACTGCCTCCCTCTCTGAAATGTGATAACCAAGATGTGCTGGTCACCTTGAAATAGGAGACAGAGTAGACTTACACAGCGGTAAGCCCAGAGCTCGTTCTTTTCCTGTGATGGCTTTCCATGAATTTGCTGGAGGCACCAAAGGTCTGATGAGGTGAATGTCAGTGCCACGTAACCAGGCGTAAGCTCAGGCTGGCCCGGAATGAAGGGCACTGTTGCTGCCACTGCTGAGCGAGGCACAGATTCTCGGGATGGAAAGTCATGCTCTGGAAATAGGTCAGATCACTTCAGCAGTGCGCCGCACATATCAGGTCACAGAGTGTCACTCCCGCAGCCCCGCGTTAGTGTCACCCAGAGCAGTTCAGTGACCTGAGGGGATCCTCTTCCCTCGGTTGTTTCATGTGACCTCCTATGCGTGGCTTGAGCACTCGGGAAACCACATCACTGTAGGACGGAGACATGTCCAGATGCAGAGGTATCAGCCGGACTATTCCTACAGGGTTTGTAGGTGAAAAGGCTGAAGGAGGCTTCCATGGCTCTCTGCCTAAAATATCTGCTGTTGCCCTAGAACTACGTCTGCCTGTGGGGAGGCAGCAGAGCACAGGCCTAAGTCCTGGCTGATGTGTGTTTGGATTCCAGTCCCCATCCCCCACGCCCCAGCTGTGCCACCTACACTCTCCAAAGTCATGTGGTTATTTTGAGAATTAAATAAGGTGATATCTTGAAAGCACTCAGCGCGGTGGTCAGCAGGCACGGAGGGAAGAATCAATAAACGTTGGCTGCAGTTCATTATTATCACGGTTGTTGTTGGTTACATCATTATCGTCCAGAATAGGTCTCGAGTGTTTTACCACTTGAAGGACAAAACCCTGGAAAGATTCCCAGATATTTCCAAGGTAACTTGAGGTCCCTGTGTGTGGCTTACAGAGGTCAGGCATCTAAGCTAGCACGTCAGTAATTGAAAACTAAAGCTGGAAGTGTGTTTGTGGACAACGTCAGAGTAGACCGCTAGACCTATGCACACCCATCCAGAATCTAAGAATCTTTTAAAAATTAATCATCTCTGTACTAAGAAGACCCAGTAGTGGAAGACACACTCAGGATGAGATGCTAAGATCTCAAAAAGCAACCCTGGGTCAGGCCTGTTTTTTTCCCTTGGGAAAAGCCCCTCCCTAGATCCATAACAACATTAATCACTAATGTTTTTGAACACGTACTCTGTGCCCTGCTGACATACATGTAAGCCTCACCATTCCTTGGGGTAGGTTCTGTTACCTTCCACACGATAAAGTTAGAGAGATTGAGGCAGAAAGAAGTTGAACTTGTCCTAGGCTGTGGTCGGCAAACTGCGGCTCGCGAGCCACATGCAGCTCTTTGGCCCCTTGAGTGTGGCTCTTCCTAAGCCTTAGGAGTACCCTAATTAAGTTAATAACAATGTACCTACCTATATAGTTTAAGTTTAAAAAATTTGGCTCTCAAAAGAAATTTCAATCATTGTACTGTTGATATTTGGCTCTGTTGACTAATGACTTTGCCGACCACTGTGAGTACAGAGCCTATAAGGAGTACCATCAGGTTCTGGACTCAGCCAGGGGTGATGTTAATGTGGCCCTTTGCTCTGATGTATTGTTTTCTGAAGGAGACAGCAAAGCAGACCTCCATGAGCTGCTCCTTCTCATCCCTCTCTTCTTGGCTACACTTCTCTTCAGCCACGTTGAACTCTTACTCTTTCCTGGGACACATCAAGCTTATTCCCACCCCTGAGTCTTTGCATGCCCTGTTTCCTCTGGCCTAGAATGAATCCAGGGGTCCCTCAGAGGAGACAATGACTCCTGACAGGGTATCATTTATCACAGAATCCAACCTTTAAAAATATAACAAAGACAAAACCAAAAATCTTTGTGGGAAGTAATACAATGTGCTTGTTTCTAAACTGGAATAAATTTCCAGTTCTCACCACCACCTCCATCTCCCAAAGGAAAATAGAAATCACCCATCAGCATCCTTTAGGTTAATCCTTTCATTCTGGTTTCCCCAGGACTGTTCAAATTTTTGCCTGTTTCCCTGATATAATTATTAAGAGCACCCTCTTTCACTGTCATATGGGTCTCAGTTTAGGAAATGAGTTATATGGTCACCCTGTTTATAATGGGAATTTCTACTCTCAGTATCAGTTTCCAAAGTAAGCTGTCTCACTTAGTTGCAATTTTTTTTTCTAGACAGCTGGCAGGGAAAAGAAGAATATACCTCCTTGTATCTGAGCCCAGGGTTTTCAAAGTCTAATTGGCCCCATCCTTAAATGATTAGGAAACTTTCCCAGCTCTAAAATCTCTCCAATCCTCCCCAGCCACCATGAGTTAATCTTAACTCTTCTATCAGTTTTTGCCTTTACCATGAAGTTAAGACTGTGGACTCACTTTTACACATTTATTTTATTCAATTTCCCATTTGTGCATATATTTATTGTTTCCGTTTATATAAGGAAATAAGATTGAAGGCTGGGTTTTCTTTTATTGCTCATGGTGTGTAATGCAAGACTATACATAAAATAGAGACACTATAAACATTGATAGAACAGACAAAATACAGGAAGCAGAGAGATGAAAGATGAATGGAATGTGGAAACAGGGGAGAAAGGAAAGGGGGGAAGGAAATGCAAGTTCAATATGTGTTTCCCCAAACACCAAGAGCACTAAAGGGAAAGGAGCTGGTCCCTTATAACAATGACTTGTCTTCATTCAATGCAAACAGATGTGTTCTCCCCTTGACCAGTCCCTCTGCTACTGTGAGCAACAAGCCTTTCTAGACTGTAGAGTTGCAGGCAGGCTGACCTGTAATTGGATTCATCTCATATTAGCTACTTAAGAGAAGCAAGGTGCCTTTCTATTTGGACAATCTTAGAAGCGCCCCCTGCCCCCATCAAATAAATACAGGATAAAAGGCAATTTGTTTAAAAATAAGGAGTGCTTTCACCGGGGGTGCTTTCTTCAAGAGCAAAAGTTTCTTACAAACACAGAAGTTCTTTGACAAACCAACAGCCATCTTACTGCCTGAGTCTGAGCCTTCTCTTGATGGTATAACAGAAATCGAGGGATTTTCTATTTCTTTATAAGTTTGAGTTGCAAATAGGAATGAGGGCTTATTAGATGAAAAGTGTTGCTTCCATGATGGTCTCAAGTTAAGCCTCTTCTTTCAAAAAAACAGATATCATCCTTTCTCAAATGTTGATGATTAATATTTACTTCAGGTTCTATTTTAAACTGAAAGAAACAAAATTTTATCATTGTAATCTATTTCTCTGCACTATGTAATAAGTGAAGTAAGATTTAAGGAAGTCATCTATTTTTTTACCCTTCAATTAATGAAATAACTTCCTCATTTAACTCTGATTTTATTTATTCCTTTATACATGCATAATTTGCATTTGTTACTTAGTGAGTGATGAGTATATGCAAATGCTAGTATATAATAATTGCTAAAGTATATAAAAAGACAAAATTTAACACTGCTTCATGAATTGAAGGTACTTCCTCAACCTGAAAAACAGCACTGACAAAAACTCACCCCTAACAATGGATGCAATGGTGAAAGAATGCATTCCTTTCCCTAAGTTCAGGAAGAAGACAAGGCTATCTTCTCCCATCACTTCTATTCAACATTGTGCTACCAGTTCTCATCACAGCAATTAGGCCAAAAAAACAAAATAAAGAGAATCCAGATGAGAAAAGAAGCAGTAAAATTATCTCATTTGCAGATGACCATCTTGTATATAAAAAATCCCAAGGGATCCACCAAAAATGCTTAGAACTAATAAATGAATTCAGTAAGGTTTCAAGATATAAGATCAACATACAACTGTCCATTGTATTTGTATACACTTGTTATAAATGATCCAAAAATATAATTGGCAAAATAAATCCATTGAAAATAGCATTAAAAATAATCAAATACAAAGAATTGAATCTAACAATGTAAGTCCAAAACTTGTACTCTAAAAGCTACAAAAATATTGTTGAAAGAAATTATAGCAACCTTAAGTAATTAGAAAGGTGTCCAAAACCTTACCTGTAATGCATTTTCTATAAGCTTGTCCATTAAAAGTAACCCACAAATTGTACAGGATTGTTCAACAAATGGATTCCACTTTATTTGAACAATCTCATGATCACTAATGGGATATTTTATCATACACGCACACACACATAAACTTGGCACCGAAAAAATCATAAATCTAAAAATTATTCTCTGCAATGTGAGTATGAGGTGTGCAGCCTCTGTTGGGAAGAACTCTGAACATTTATTTGGCTGTCAACAGAGGGAAGAATGAATGTGAACACTGGCCAGTCTACTGGTCTCCTCCTCAGCCAATAGTCTTTCAGTGAATCCCACAAAAGGAATGCATAGGTGATTCAACACCAGGCTTCTCACACATAGGCTCCTTCGAGTGTGATTATTTTCCCAGAAGCCTCATAAAACATTTTTAAATCACCTCTTCCATTTTCCAGGTGATATTTCCTCCAGTTGGATACAGTAACTCATGTCCCCTCAGCCAAAGGGTTGGGTATCCAGATGACTCTAGAAGGAGAAGAAAGCCAAGATGTTATTGAACACACCACTTTTAATGAAGGAAACACCTTGGAAAGTATTATGGCAAATTACTTTAGAGAGAGCAGGTAGAACTTGGCCAATGCACCAAGGCAAAGAAGAGTTGCCGAAACTGGAGGAGATAAATCTAAGAGTCTGGGGAGAGGTGTCCTGATGAAGTTAAGAACAATTTAATGAGTACAGTGTTTAGAGGGAGTGACATAACTGTGTCACAGATGATGGGACAATTGTGCAATAAGTCACCAAACCTCTCTTATAGTGGTTGAATAGGCATATTTAAACAATCAACTGCCTCTTCTGTACATTTGGTCTGCTGACTTCAGTTTCCTATATGGTTTTCAGTTCTGGCCCATTTACAAATGTACAGAAACATCTGCAAACTATGCAACTACAAAGGGACATATAATTCTGGGGCAATAAAAAGACGAAATTCCTTTTGAACACTGATGGGTTTTTAAAATATAACTCCAAGGAAAGATGATGCAAGAATACTAATAATGTATTTTTTAAAAATAAGAATACTAATAATGTTTCTATTTTATGTCAAAGACGTTTAATTTCTTTCATTGTTTTCAGCACACTGTAATGTATGGGATAAAGATCAGTTCGTATATATTTTGAAAGGTTTTTGTTTTTTAGATCATATGTTTACATAGCAAAGTGACATCATTTTGCTGTTTATGTTTAAATTAGATTTCAAGTGGAGAGAGAGGAGCTTATCATCCCAAGCATAATGGTATTATCTCTCCCTGCAGGTGGCAGTGGAGTTTAACTCACCTGTTTCCCCAATTCTCTGGTGCTCAGTCCCATTCTCTAGTCTATAGATCCCTAATACAGGGTGCTCCATATATGCCCTTAAATGTTAGCATGTTCTTATAAAATATCTGGTATTGTTTTGCATGCATGCGTTTTAATTACATGGTATTATATTGTAATATAAAGTCATCATCTTTATGGAACTCAGCACTCTTTGGGGTGGAATCTACCCATGTGGTTGAAAACATCTAACTTGTGTTTCTTACTGATGCTCATAGTTTCTTGGTGGGCATCTCTTGCTTATTTATTTTCTTGGGGTTTTATTGCCTGCAGTTTCCTGCCACCAAAAATAACATTCAGAAAAACAAGCTTGTACTGGTCCATTATGAACATTTGCAAGAATTTTTCTGGTGTACACACACACACACACACACACACACACAATTGTGTTGACTAGATCATAGGGAAAATACAATTTTTGTTGAATATTGCCTAATTGCTTCTCAGAATGGTTGTTTCAGTTTACTCTTCAATTGTGCACAAAAATTCATGCCCTCTCAAAGTCTTGACAGCACTGGATTGTCCCAACATGTCTGGTTTTTTTGCCATTATAAGGGCTAGAAAGCAGTATCTGATTGTTGTAGTGTTTAGTCCTGCTGTTTCTAATGAGCTCACACACATTTTTATGTATCCATTGGACTTCATTTTCTGTAAATTACCTGGTCACATTGCCCATTTTCCTACTAGTTTCCTGCTTCAACCTGTTAATTTGAAGTTCAAGTATATTTTGGAAATCAGTCCCTTAATTGCAAGCATTAAATATATCTTCTCCCAACATGTCACTCACTGTTAACATTATCCAAGGTATCCTACCCAAATATGGATCTAGATATGTGAGTAATCATTCCACTCTCTGGTTTGTGTATTGGAGTCTTGTTTGATTCTATTTTTACCACCTTCAAGTCATTAGTATATCCTTATAAAAGGTCTTCTACTAGATATGTAGATTTACCTTTATACAACAATAGCCAATACTTAGAAATATTTACAATTTTCTAGAATATTTCACATATCCTAGCATATTTAGATTTTCAGATGAACCTCCCATAAATGAGACAGCTATTTTGATCCCCGTTTTGCAGGAGGAAATTGAAGCATCAGGAAATTAAATAACTTACCCTAAACTATACAGCCTGGAAGTGAAAGAATCTAGATTTGAACCCATATTATCTGTACTTCACAATCCACACTCCTGTATTAAGGTATTTTATTCCTGTGGAGTATACCTTTTTAAGTTAATAATCCTTCCTTCCTTTTGTCCTTCTTTCCTTTCTCCCTCTTTTTTTCCCTCATTCGTCCCTCCCTTCCTCCTTCCCTTCCTTACTTCTTTCTGTCTTCTATCTTTTTATAAAAATGTAAACCCCTACAATGTAATAGATATAAATTATTAGTTGTGAGCACACAGTTGTTATTTAAGCTGTACGTCCGGATGAGATTCTCCAAGAGAGCAAGTCTAGATGGGGCAGGGAATGCCAAATCCTGAGCCGTGGGACACTCATCAGTAAGATGGGGCCCAAGAAGGAAAACCCGAAGAACGGGCTGAGAAAGAGCAACCCGTAATGGAGCAAGAGAACCAAGAGTCTTCCGTTTCCCAGAAGCCCGGTGAAGAAAGCGCTTCCCAAAGTAGGGATCAACTAAGTCTGACGCTGCAGAGGATTCTAGAAGAATTCTCAGAACTAATTTCTGGTGCAGCACTCAGGACCCATACAAGAGCAGCTTTGATGGAGGGATGGGGACAAAAGTGGGGGACTTCAGGGAGAATAGGGAGCAGAGTTGAAGACAGGCAGCAGGGACAATGCTCTTTTCAGGAGCTCTATTGCAAAAGAAAGTCTCGAAATGGGATGGTAGCAGAAAAAGGAAATGACATCAAGAAAGAGTTGTGAGAATTTCTCTGGTTAATTACTATACATATCATTGTACCTCAGTGTATTGACCATTCCTGTTCATGGCAGTGTGCTTTGTTTATACGTTTTTGCCACGGCCAACAATGCTGTAATTGAGATATTTAATACATATCTACCTGTAGAATGTAGATTGTTTTCCCCACCTTCCAGTCATCTCAATATTTATACATATGTATTTTTAGATAGTGGTGTTTTGTTATTCTATGGGTAGATTCACAAGGGTGAGATTGTTTAATAGAATTGCATATATACATGTATGTTTTATATTTAGTCCATATCCATCTACTGATACATATTTATTAATAAATACACAATTTACATTGAAATTTACATTAACTTACATTTATGCCAGCAATGTTTGAGTATATCTTTTTCTGAAATCCACACTGGCAAATAAACACATCCCTGGATTATGATTTTTTAAAAAATATATACTCTTACTGATTTTGAGAGAGAGAGAGAGAGAGAGAGAGAGAGAGAGAAACAGTAATATGAGAGAGAAACATTGATTGGCTGCCTCCTGCACACCCCCTACTGGGGATCCAGCTAGCCGGGATGCTGGATTATGATATTTTGCTGCCATGTGTCAGCGAGTCATAATCAAGAAAACTTACCAGTATTTTATTTGATCTTCAAAATGGGTCTATGATACTTTTAATTCTGTGATTCCCAGTTTGCTGAGGTGGAGAGGTAAAGATTCTCACACAAGTTCACCCACCTTCAAACTCAGATCGATCATCTCATTCTTAGATTCCTTCTCCTATTTTCAACTGCTTTCTTTGGTCCCTGGTTTTATTCACAGATTCTTCTCAGCACCTCTGACTCAGAAAAGAGAACATTCTTTTGGGTTGGACTGGTGTCTGTGTTTCTCTCCATGTAAGGGCCTGGCTGCATAGCCTGCTACCTACCCTCCTTCCCCCAGCTTTAGGCCCCCTTGGCCCTGAGTGTCTTCTCACCCTGAGGCCCCACAGAATCTCAGTGCATATTACACATTCCTCCAGCAAAACGAATCCACTGGCAGGCACCCAGGAACACATAGTCACACATGCGGCTCCCCGAGCCGGCTGGACTGTGTCCAACTGTGGTCATAGGTAGCCGCAGAGACAGGCATAAACGCAGGTCCTGGAGACTGGACCAAAGGCATGGAGGGTCGAGTGGGCGGAACCACAGGCATGCTGCACAGATGCCAACCAGTGACCTCTACGCAAGCCGTGCCAAGAAAAACGGAGCATCATAAGAAGCAAAAGGATCCTTTGACTTCCCTGCCCTATCTTCTTCTCCCTCAGAAATGCATGGCTGATATTCCACCAGTCTAAGGTTTTAATCACCAGATAACACTAATAGTTAGAGCTATCATTTATTATGGAAGCCAGAAAATAGTACATTATAGGCATTCCACATGCATTAGCTTTCAGCTTCAGGAAACCCATGAAAGATAGGTTAGGTTATTTCTGATTCAGAAATATTGACATATTCAGGATGGCATGCCTCGTAAGTGGCAAAATCAGAATTGAGACTCAGACTTTCTTGATTTAAATGCTCGTGGGCTTTCTGCTTAAACACAGCCCTGTCTACTATAACGTTAGTAATAAAGAATATTTGTAAGTACTTAATATGCATTGGGCATAGTGTCCAGTGGTTTACAGAAATTGTCTCAGTTATCCTGACAATAATCTTAATTTCATCAACTCTTTCCTCCTCTATGATTTAAAAATAATAATTATTAAACAGATGAGAGAGCTGTCTTAGATACCTAAGCCACTTCCCCAAGGTCCTAGGACTAGCAAGACCTAGAGATGGAATTGGAAATTAGATACATGTGACTGTGGGCCCTCGCTCTTGACTCTTGTCTCCCTAAAATGTAGATCGTTTCCTTCATCTCTGTGGCTCATCCTCTTTCTGGGGATGAATCTGCACATATTCTTTAGTAGTAATTGAAAGTAATGTGTTTCTCAAGGCGATATTTAAAGTCCAACAGGAGCTTGACTGATCAAATAAATAAGTATGTTTTTTCTTTCAGAGAATGTTTATGAAGACTTACCTTCACAGCTACAAATTCAAAAGCTTCTTGACTATGATGTCAAGTTGTTATTGTCAGTAGCTGCTTTGCCTAACTGCAGTGTTTTCAAGGGTCAATAGAAAACAGCCCTGACCCTTTTTGTTGGAATTGAAAGGTCACTAGGACTTTGCTTTATTTATTTGTTTGTTTGTTTGTAACTTGCCAATTGCAGTTGACATTCAGTATTATTTTATATTAGTTTCAGGTGTACAGCATGGTGGTTAGACATTTATATAATTTACAACTGAACAAATGGAAAGTCAAAGGTGTTAACCACCTGGATGTGGTGACTAAATCATGAGCTCTAGAATCGCCCAGACATGGGAGTGGACAAGCTGTGGGAATTGAGCAACATACTTAACCTTTCTCAATGTCAAGTTCCTTATCTATAGAGTGAGAATGAAAATAGTAACCCACTTCAAAGCATTGCTGTAAGAATTAATAGGTTAATGCATGTGCTTAACACATTGTCTGGCCCCATCATTGGCCCTGTAAATGTTGGCTTTCAGTGCATATCACAACCAACCTGTTGGAGACACCAAGGAAATGAATGTACCATGTGTTTTCTCAATGACTTTCAAGATACTTGCTTCTCATTCGGTGTTTTATTCTCAGTAGAACATTCTTACCTTTCTGTTCTTATATTTCTAAATAGTCTTCTATTTCTATTCTCTACTCAAGAGAAATTTGACTCAAGGAGAAAGATTACTACAACCGTATGTATGTCAGGAGAGGATTTCATAACTTTCCTACATTCATTTAAAGTGCTGTGAAATTCTTTTGAAAAAAATAGAAGTAACTTTGCCCACCTACTCAATTCCTTCTTAATGCATTACTTTTAAATCTCAAGTTTTAATGTAATTTAACTCATACTAATTATCACTGTAATCCCAACAACACACAGGTCATTGAAAGCCAGCCCATTAAATAGTTTTGTCTCACCCCCCCACCTTTGGAACAGTATAAACCATTAAACAGAGCAGTTTTTAAACAGACATGCACTGTAGTTTCCTTACATCTTTCTCCAAAGCCTTAGAAAATTACTATTAGTGTCATTCAAGTTAGGAAATTTAGTCATATTTTCTAAACCGTATGGATATGCCCCGGAATGGAAAAGGACAGAGAATAAGTAAGTCTTCAACAGCTGGGAGAGGTTTTGTGGATTTCATAGTGGTTGGGAACTACTAACAAGGAAATATTACACATGGCCTTTGGCAGGAACATATTATAAAATCCAGAGCCTTTTGTTATGGGCTGAGTAGGGAATTATTCATAATTGTTATTTGATTTGGTCTTCTTCCCGTCTTCTCCTTAACAGAAGCTTTCCTGCCTTGAAAAATTACACCATTTAAAGGTGCCCTATGTCTATGATTATAAGCTACATAACCTGGCAAATATTACTGAAAAAATAAAAAGCTCGTGAGGCCAGTAAAATTTACAGTAGCAGATGGCATTTTCACCAACCTGCAGTGCCAGTATTTCACAAAGATAAAAGGGGGATCTACCCGCTCTTGAGTAATGCCAGGAAATGTCTGTCATTCCCAGAATATCTCATTCATTCAACTGACATTCATTAATCCCCTGAGCATCCTGATAACTCCAGGAAAGCATCCAAACTCATCCGTGTCTGGCTCCTGCTCCATCTCACACTGCTGCTCGCCCCTAGGAACCCTAACCTCCAGCATTTACAGCTCAAACGTGTGCAGCTTCTACCGGTGACAAGTGACTCCAAGCAGCTGATGACATGTGAATGTATTGATGCACTAATTTTAATCACACATGCTTTAGGCTGGTGACCCTAAGGGAGACATTTGGCTGCTCAGTGACACTATCTGGCTGCCCAGCACCTGCCTTTCTATAACACATTGCCATTTTTCTATTTATTTCTGTATGTGCTCTGAATGGGCTGTATCAGTTACTTATTGCCACAAAAATGCTGTTTTACAAACAAACCCCTATGGCCCACGACCATGAACGTTTATTTTGCCCCTGTATCGGTGGGGTTCCTAGGCTTGGGGATAAGCATTGGTTGACGTCACCTGGGCTTGCCCACAAATCTGTGTTCAGTGGTGGGATTCCTGGCAGCGCTGTTGCTCTGGTGCAGGCTCATTTATAAATCTGTGATCTCAGCTAGTCTAGTGTGGCCTCAGGACAACCAAGTCAACGTGGTTCTGCTCCTCTTGTCCTTCATCCTCCTGCAGGCCAATCCAAGTGTGTTCTCATAGCAAGGGCAATGCTTCCAGAGCCACCAAGAACAATCAACTGAGCAATTTCAAAGTGCACTTGCATCAGGCATGCTAACACCCTATTGGCCAAACCAAGTCACGTGGTCATTCCCACAGAATAAGTGAGAGAGACCGCAAGGGTAAGGGTAGGGAAGGAGTGGAAATTGGGGTCATGTTTACAATCAGTCCGCCCCATGGAAACAATGGATTCCAGAGTGGTATTTGAGAAGACCTCCCTTCTATTCCACTTGAATTCTTGGAAAAGTTTATACAGTTTATCCTCTACACCATGGCATTGCTAACTGTTCCCTCACTCTTCCTTTTACCCTGTGCCCCGCCCAGTCCCTGCAAGTGCAGGCATGAGACAAATAAAACGCAGTCTCTGACTTTAGGAAGAATACAACTTATCAGGGAAACACACTTACATAAGGATTGAGCTGGATAATGCAAATGAAGACTAACATAATGCTTGATCCATGGTAAGAAGGTAGAGAAGATTGTGCTGAGGTACGTTCCATTCCTCGAACACATTTCTACCTGCAGCTGCAGCAGACAATCCCCTGCATCTGGCAGCTTCCTACCTCAAGCACCTGCAGCTCTCTGCTTGTCTATCTGAGGACTTTCTCCTGCACCCATGCGAGTGGGTGCCGAGCACACAGGTAAAACCCAAAAGCATTGGGCATTTGATGCTCAGCCAATGAAGCAGGTGCCAGTGGATAGTGCTCCCGCTTCCCCTCCCTTGTTGAGATGATTCAGGTTGTCTGCAGAGTTCCTCAGCGAGAGTCCTGCAGTGGCCCCATGAATGCTCTCTTTGTTTTCCCACTTTTCCCAACTGGTTTCCTCCAGTCACTGCTTGGGCATCTTGGGATCATTTCCCATAATAAACTACCTGCCCCCAAGCCCTTATCACAGGACCTACTTTTGGGGAGAACCCTAACAGAGAAAGGGCAATAATGGTAATTAGCTAGAATTCTGAAGCCCAATGTGCAAAAGTAGAGAAATTCTTAAGAAGCATAGAATGGGGGAGGTGCTGAATCTTCTGTATTTCTTTGTTTAGACTCTGGAGACCTATCATTCACCAGTGAGCTTCACACACCCAGATAGATGAAGTCACTGCCTGAGATGTTCCTCCGGTTAGCTATTTTCACAGGATTGAGGGGAGGCGGGAGGTGGAGGAAAAAGGCACGCAAACCTCCTTTGAGCAGTAGTCTGAGCAATAGCCTTTGTGGTATGATATGAGGTTCCTGTAGGTCAATGTCTACAATTTCTTCGGAAGGAATCCATCTCTTTAGATAAGCATTGCCCCGCCTCTGTGAGTGGTTTTTATGAAGTTCAGCTACAGAGAAAACAGACAGCAGTGTAGGGTAGTGGGACATGCGTCTTTGAGAACAGAAAGACCTAGAGTCAAGTCTGAGTGCTGCTCTCCATGAGCTCTGTG